GTAGGAGGAGAGCGGGAGGAGAGCAGTGGGACAAGACAGCGGAGGTATTGGGGGGGGGGAGAGCTGCGGCCGGCGGAGGAAGCGGCGGTAGAAAAGTGCGCGGCGGGCAAGGAAAGTGGGGGGGGGGGGAGGATTTCGGAAGCTTTATCAGCGCGGCGGGAAGGAGAGGAGAGGAGGGGGAGAGGGCGGAAGAGAGGAGCGCCGCGCCTCGAAGCTGTCCCCGCCGTCCAGCCCATACCACCGGTCTCCGCCGCCGCCTACGCGAAGCTTCCGAGACGCTTCACGGCAATCGCCCGCTCCTACCTCTGCACCGCTGCGATTCTGCTGCCGCCTCCGCCGTAGAAGCCGCTGAGGTCGCGACGCGAACCGCCACCGTAGCCGCCGCCGCGGTCGCCACGATCACCGCCGCGGTCGCCGTAGCCGCCGCCGCGGTCGCCGTACCCGCCGCCGCCGCGGTCTCCGTACCCGCCGCCGCCGCGGTCGCCGTACCCGCCGCCGCCGCGGTCGCCGTACCCGCCGCCGCCGCGGTCGCCGTAGCCGCCGCGGTCGTCCGCGCGGTAGTCTTGGCGGCCGCCGCCGCCGACGCTCATGTTGCTCATGAGCGCCTCGAGATTGCGTCCGCCGCCGCCGCCGCCACCGCCGCCGCCGCCGCCGCCTAGTCGGAGGAGAGCGAGCGCCGTGGTGAGAGGACTAGGGAGGGGTGCGCGGAGCAGGCGCGGTGGTGGCGTAAGCGAGTGTGGCGCAGGCGGCGCTCGGCAGGCGCCCGGGCCGGGCCCGATGGGAGAGCAGAGGGCCGGGCCGTGTGCAGGCTCGGGCCGCCCGGCGCCTGGTGCGGAACCCTGTTGGTTCCGCAGATGAGGAGGAACATAACCGCCTGCGGTGGTGGCGCGCGGGGCGGGAGCGCGGTGAGGCCGGACCGAGGCGGCGCTGCCGGTCGGGCGAAAAGGCGGCGCGCACCCATACACTGGGTCCGAGAGGACAGGAAAGAGACTTGTCTGAAGTAGAAGGCGGAGGATCGCCCACGTCGTTCGCCCAAGTCAGAAAAAGAATCCGCCGGCCCAGAGGAGGACGGCGAGGCACTTAGGCTCCGAGGACTAGACTGGAATCGCCTCAGAAGAAATTAAGGACAAGGAAAACGCCAATCGGAAAAGAATTTCGTTTTGGTCCTCACAGGATGAGCGATGAGACGATCGCGCTCGTGGGCGAGCTGCCCAGGAAAACGCCGCGCCTAAAGGGAGAAGAAATTCGGCGTCAAGCAAACGAAAGGCTGATCCTCGGCGTATACAACAGGCGCTCGGAGCTTGTCAATGGCGCGCCGTCCTACGTCAAGGCCAGCGGCGAGAGGTACATGCTGTGGCATGCGATTGGCCGATGGTATGTTGGCTTGGCGCACGAGAAGGGACAAGCACAGGGCTGCATCAAGCTCTCATCGGACAAGAAGCGGCTCGAGGACGCGACCGGCACTTGGCAGATGGGAATTCCTGGCTTGGTGCCCGTGGGGAATTCCTGGCTTGACGCGCCCGGCCTACGGCTCCTCCGGCACGTGCCGCCCGCCGACGAGGTGTCCGTGGTGGGCGAGCGGACGCGCGACCAAAAGGACGCCGAGGGCCGCAAGCGCGCCATCGACCTCACGGAGGGCACGGTGGAGACGCCGCGCAAGCGGAGCCGCGCCGACGACGTCGAGACGCGCGTGGCCAAGGGGCGGTCGCTGTGCGCGTCGGAGGTGGACGCGCGGGCGCACGAGCTGATGGAGGAGCCTTTTCGGGACTTCCTAGCCAAGAAGATCGGCGGCGCAGAGCTTGAGCGCCAGCGAGAGGCCGCGCGCGAGCAAGCGGAGAAGGAGCACCCGCCGCTCAGCGCCCTCGACAAGGCCTTCGCCGCGTACACTGCGGCGGCGGCCGCGGAGCAGG